ACTTAGCTATTTTTTAGTTTTTTTTTTTTTTTTTTCTATTAGTTCAGATAATATTTTCCCCTTATTTCTGGCGGAAAACAAAAAAATTTTCTACACATTCATATAAAAAAATGCATAATATCAAGTAGAAAATTACAAACCCCTTGAACTTGACTGACAAACCCCGCAAAAACTGCAAAAAGAAAACCCAAAAAAACGGTTTTTTCACAACTTTCTGCATTCACATCGACGCCAGTTTGTGTTATTGATACATTAGTGTTGCTGTGTTTTTTTTTTGCATATATTAATTCTGCCAATTTTTTAGCCTCTCTCATTTATTATACTCTTTTTGTTCACTCCTGTTTCATGTGTTTTTGTAGCAAATGCTAAAACAGTAAGTTTTAATCCTTCGCAAAGTCGCCTCTTAACGGACAGTGCCACTCAAAACATTTTCCTTTTTTTCCTTTTTTTTTTAAAGAGCTTGAATTGATTTAGCGTTTTGCATCTCAGCATTCAAAACTCTGTCGGTTTTCTCTTTTTGCAATTTATGCGGCTGTCAGTGGAGGTCGAAGTTTTTTTGTAATTTTCTATTTGGGATAGTGCGTTTTTTAAGCCGACTGTAGCATCCAAGTTGGCCTAGGGTGCCAGAGTAAGGAAGGTGTATGCACCAGCGGAAAAATAGTAGGAAAAAACAATTGAGTTAAGACGTTTCGGTCCATTAAGTCATATATGTTTGATAATTTCAGTGAAAATCGCTATCAAGGTTTCGGTAATACGGTGACAAACAAGGAAGATGCAAGCAATGAACTATTATCAGGCGCTCTATCATCATTATCAGTGGTGAGTGGTGCTCATTCTGTTGATTTTCGCAAAAAAAAGCCAAAAATTTTCCCCAGAAACATTCTTGGTTGCGTTGTTTTCCTAAGATTAAGTTAAAAATTTCTGTATTTGCACTGTGCAAGGGAGGGGACCACGTGGAATTAGCTTTTTTTGGCAGCAAAACTAACAGACAGTTAATTTCCCATTGAAATGAATGTGCGAATCGTAGAGGATTGGGTGTTCCAGTAACCCTCTTCCCCCCTCCTCGTCTCCCTCCCCCCGCGTTTTCCTCCGGAATCGGGCTTTTGGCCTTCAGCGGAAGAGAAGCGCCGATTGTTAATGTTCCATGCCCACTAGCACATCGGTTTTCGTATTTTTTCATTGTTTTTTCTGATATTGTTTTGTATATTTTGAGGGTTGGAATATGCTTAGCAAAGGTGCAACAACAGCAGCATCCTATGCCAAAGATATTGGTTCTCAGGCAACAGCTAAAGCTACTGAACTTGGTGGAACTGTTAGTGAAAAGGTCTGTTTTAGGGGTTCTTTTTCTTTTCAAAATACCAAAAAATCGTATTTAGTAATAAATGCTGATAAAGTACAACTCTTTTTTATTCGTAGTCTTAAAATTTCGTAATTTTGAACAGGTTTTCCCGTAGTGTTACTGAATGGATAGGAAACTAATCTCTCATTAGCAGCGTTATTTGCAGCTCTTGAATAAGTCGTAATTTTTGTTTTTCAGAATCAGTTCTAGGATTTTTTCCTTATATGATTTAATGGGACCGAAACGTCTTGTCTCATTCTTACTGTCTTTTCTCATACTGTCCCTTTCATGCTGTAATCTCTCGCGCCTTCGCGATTTAGGCTTCCAGGGTCAACCTGATTGCTACAATCGGCTTATAACCGTTGTTGCCTTGGCTGCTGTTTTACCCTGCTGTCATCGCTGTGATTTTTTCTTACAGTCCACCTTTGTTTTAGCCGAAATCTCAGTCCCGTTCCTCTTGATTTTAAGCTAGCGTCGTTTAAGTAATTCCTTAAAATGCCTTCGAATGGATCTTTGCATCTCACTACAGGGAACTTAAGTACTGTTCACCAAAGCTTCATATTTATTTATGTATTTTTACCGCTTTTTTTCCCTTAACGAGATCAGTTTTTGGTCCTGACGTACATTGTCTTAGTAAGGTATATTCAGAATTTTCTTTTTTTTATTCGATTTACTGTCTGCTTTGCTACGGTGGATATTTTTTGGTATATAAGCCTGTGATATCGTTAATTCTTTTAATCCCTCCCCTCCCTTCTCCCACCTGCTCCTCCGCCTCGCCTTCTGGTTTAATATGTAAATTATCGTTTTCATACCT